TGGTCCAGCAAAAGTTGAAACAGCTCGACCATTCGATCTACTATCATTAATATTCTTTTATCGAGTACCGTAAATATTAATTATTGCTCTTTTGCCGCACGTCGTTCTTTCGACGACGAATGCGACTCGCCACACATTACATTCGTTCGCTCACATAGGCACAACACGTACGCGCGCACGAGCGAGGGATCGGCCGACTGTCGACGATGAAGATGTGGAGTTGCATAATGCTCGGAATATGCGTATTGGCCGCGTGCGTGTTGATATCCCATTTACGCAAGAGCTTTTTTCTGAAGTCGATATTGACGAACTTTAGAGACAGAGTATTCGTCTGTTCTCACGACGACAATGCTGGCGAAAACGCCGACGAGAGATTTGGCGACGCGAGTTCTGACGAATCCGGCAACGACACCGCCGAAGACCTAGATGGTCTCAGCGGTGCTTCCGTCGACTCTGGCGTAGGCGTCGTCACCGCGGCCGCCGTCACGTCCACGGTGTCTCCGACCGAAAATTTCGATCCGGTCAATTCTCGTAACGGCGATGCTGGCGAGAACGCCGACGAAAATCTTAGCGACGCGAGTTCTGACGAATCCGGCGACGACACTGCCGGAGAGCCAGACGGAATCGGAACGGACGCCGAAGAATTCGATCCGGCTAATTCTTCTAACGATAACGGCAATACCGGTGACGAGAACGCCGACGAAAATCTTAGCGACGCGAGTTCTGACGAACACGACGACGACGACGACGAACCCAGCATCGAGGCAAAGATAGATCAATTTTTGAAAGACCTCGAAAATCCCAATCCGGTTACCGACGGGTCGAGCGTTTCTAGCTCGAACAGAGACCGAAGAGCAAACAGTCGATAGCAAGACGGATGAATAATTTTTTGGCAACTGGAGATCACTTTATGTGTGACGCGTGTAATATGTTACGAGTAAATAAGAGAAATCGGAGTATCTGTTTTTTTCTCAACCCAGAGTATCTGTTTTTTTCTCAATATTATTATCATCATCATCATTTTCAAATTACTGTTCGCCCTAACTAACTCGATAATGTCTTTGTGACGAGTCGCACCGCGTTATGGCAACGCGTGTTACGTCATACAGTATCCCCGTTCACCTTCAGAGACGTTTGTTTCCTTCGTTGATCGCCGAATCTTCCTTATAGATAATTTGCTATAGATAAAATGGTCGACATGGTGCACGGGTGATCGTCAAGCTCGGTATCGGGTCGTAATCGAATTGTCGGGTTCTTTGCGGGACCATCTTTCTCTCGGGCGAGTTTTTTTTTTTACACAACGGAATAAGAGAACGGGTCAACTAAAAATATAAAGACGGGTAGAACACGAGAGAGACGAAAAAAGGAAAGAATACACTCCTCGTGACCCATCCAAAAAATCCATCGCTAAACCCGAATCGAAAACACGCTAACTAGCTCACTGTTCGTCTGCATAGGAGGAGACGAGTTTCGTTTTCGAGAAGTACCGAGCAGGAAGAGAGAGGGAAGCAAAACGATACAAAACGCGCACGCGGCATCTTCGCGCAGCGTGCGTTTATAATGCGGCAGAGGCCGCACGGCCCGATTCATTCGGAGAGGATCGCTCGCACCGCCAACAGCGAAACGGCGAGAGTGGCCGGACGAGCGTTCCCGATCACCGGCGACTCGGCGAAGTGAGCTTAACGTGCTTCTGTTGCAAGCGAGCAATGTCGGTGTTCGGAAATCGCAAAATGGCATACCGGGAGTGAACTCTGAGAGACGGCGTTAAAAATACGCGAGAGAAGGAAATTTACGCGCGGACGAGGCTCTCGAAAATCGCCGCTAATAATTCCATCTCTGTACTTTCTAGATCGAAAGAGAAAGAGCGAGTGCCACCGAACGATGGTCGCCCCGCACAACACGGGCATCGCGACGAGGTCGTTCGTGAGGATCCCGGGCAGCGGCTCTTGCAGCGCCGCCGGCACCGTCTACGAGGATTTCTCCCGCGTGTGCGACGCGGCCGCCGTGGCGGCCGCTCGGCACCGGCCGCCGCAGGCGCCCGTACTGCGCCTGCATCACGGGCGCCTCAGCAGCAGCAGCAGCAGCAGCATGGACGCGGCCTTCCTCGGGAAGACGGCTGCGATCGCGGACTCGCCTGCCGAGGGCGCAAGAGTCCGAGCCGGAGCCGGTGCGCCCGCCAATATGCGAACGTCCGCGAGAAATGGAAGTCCCGAGGGCGGCCAGCGCAAGCGCCTTCGGTCTCGTCCCAGCGAGAGAAACGGGGAGGCGGAGAATGCTCCGCCTCGGGCCAAGGCGCCCAGGACGATGCGCATCGTCGTGGGCGGCACCGGGGCCGTTTCCCCAGCGGCGCCCGGGACGATGCGCATCGTCGTGGGCGGCACCGGGGCCGTTTCCCCGGCGGCGCCCGGGACGATGCGCATCGTCGTGGGCGGAGCGCGGCGCCCCATCTTGCTCAGCGCCGAATCCCTGAGGCGGCTGATGGACCGCAGGAACCGATTCCTACGGGAGAACCGGGCCCCGTTGCAGAGAGAGGGCGCAGGCCCTTCGGCTTAGCGAGTCCGTGTCGCACCAGTGTAGAACGGATCGCGTCTCCTTGTTATTTCATCTCGGCGACATAGACTCTGACGAACGCATCGAATCCGGCAACGAAGATTCCCGGTCACCAACGGGTCGAGAGCTCGTCGTCGTCTCGCTCGACAAAAAATGGAGGCGGCGACGGACGGCGAACATCGGCCCACCGCTCGGCGGCTACTGTTCCGCGCAATACTCTTGTATGACGTACAATGTGCTATGAGGTATTAAATAAAATATAAAGCGTGTCTATTTTTTTCTTTATTCGACCAACGTCCTACGTAAACTTATTTTTATTTCGTGTCTGCTCGTTACGCATAGACCGGACGAGTACGACAAACCCTTCCAATCGCACAATAGGCAATAGAATACCGTCCTAACGCTCTCCAGTCGGTCGGGCGTATAACACCTAGCGATGTATCATCCCACAGAGGACGTTCGCAGGCGCAGGGAAGACAATCTCGGAGTGGAGAGAGGCGTGGCCGTGGCCGATTGGTTTCTTTCCCTGTCTTCCGACAGCTGCCTCGCTCTTCCGCGGATAACCGTAACGGACTCGTCGCTCTGTGCGGACGCCAGACACTTATCATGCGACGAGTCGTTTGTGATGTCTCTGCCAAACGCGGCGGGGAAAAAGAAGAGCGACGCGCGAATTCCGAGACCTCGAATGCTGATCCCGTCGCTATCCGCGGCGGCCGCCATAACCGACAACATCGCCAAGATACAGATTGCGGCCTTTAAGATACTCGCCAGGGCGGGTTTGCAGGATGCCGTACTGGTGAGCGGTCCGGAAAATAGCAGGGCGAGTCGTAGAAAATGCATAAGGAAGATCCTGAAGAATCAGAGTTCCTTCGATGCTGCCGTGCGCGATCTGTACAGGCTTCGCGATCAGGCCTTGGGCGGTAGCCTCGAGGGTGCCAGGAACGCCTCTCCCGTTTCGATAGCGATAGGCTCGTGGGCGGTGGGACTGCTCGACAACATCGTGTTCCTTCTGAGAGAGATCGCAAAGAAATCGTCGAAGCAAAATACGGCTCGGGAACTCGTCGACGGGGCGTCGCTCTCTAAACACATCGGCGGCATAGACGCTCGCTCTGCAGCGAGGCTGTTCGACGAAACCCTCGAAGAGACGCTCCGGAACGTGGTGCAGCGCGACATAAACAACGGCGAGAATGCAGACGGTCTCGATTCGCTCTATAGGAACGTCTTGCGAAAGAGACCTCGCCGAGGATTCGGAATCGACAACCGCATGAAGATCCGAGGTTGGAAATCGGACTGGCACGGTCACGAGAGCGATAAAAAGCTGCACGGCCAACCCGACTGTAATATTAGGGTCGCATTAGGCAGTAAGAGAAAACTCTACAGTCGGAAAAATACGAACGGCGACGAGGAGGACGAGGAAGAAGAAGAAAAAGAAGAAGAAGAAGAAGAAGAAGAATACGCGTATCACATCACCCAACTATTCGCACAATCCTTTTTACAGACAATGTGCTCTATGCTCTCTGCGGTTTACCGAATCGACGACCCGTTTTCGGCAGACGGTCTTAAGACGTTAACAGCGAGTTTAAAAAAGAACGATAGAAAACTCATGTATCTGGGATCCTTTTTAATTCCCTTCACGGCTAGTTCCCCTAACGACGCACGACTGATACCCGCGTCGACCATCGCCACCGCCACCGCCACCGCCAACGATAACCAGAACTTGCAGAACTCTTGCAGCGCCGCCGGCACCGTCTACGAGGATTTCTCCCGCGTGTGCGACGCGGCCGCCGTGGCGGCCGCTCGGCACCGGCCGCCGCAGGCGCCCGTACTGCGCCTGCATCACGGGCGCCTCAGCAGCAGCAGCAGCAGCAGCATGGACGCGGCCTTCCTCGGGAAGACGGCTGCGATCGCGGACTCGCCTGCCGAGGGCGCAAGAGTCCGAGCCGGAGCCGGTGCGCCCGCCAATATGCGAACGTCCGCGAGAAATGGAAGTCCCGAGGGCGGCCAGCGCAAGCGCCTTCGGTCTCGTCCCAGCGAGAGAAACGGGGAGGCGGAGAATGCTCCGCCTCGGGCCAAGGCGCCCGGGACGATGCGCATCGTCGTGGGCGGCACCGGGGCCGTTTCCCCGGCGGCGCCCGGGACGATGCGCATCGTCGTGGGCGGAGCGCGGCGCCCCATCTTGCTCAGCGCCGAATCCCTGAGGCGGCTGATGGACCGCAGGAACCGATTCCTACGGGAGAACCGGGCCCCGTTGCAGAGAGAGGGCGCAGGCCCTTCGGCTTAGCGAGTCCGTGTCGCACCAGTGTAGAACGGATCGCGTCTCCTTGTTATTTCATCTCGGCGACATAGACTCTGACGAACGCATCGAATCCGGCAACGAAGATTCCCGGTCACCAACGGGTCGAGAGCTCGTCGTCGTCTCGCTCGACAAAAAATGGAGGCGGCGACGGACGGCGAACATCGGCCCACCGCTCGGCGGCTACTGTTCCGCGCAATACTCTTGTATGACGTACAATGTGCTATGAGGTATTAAATAAAATATAAAGCGTGTCTATTTTTTTCTTTATTCGACCAACGTCCTACGTAAACTTATTTTTATTTCGTGTCTGCTCGTTACGCATAGACCGGACGAGTACGACAAACCCTTCCAATCGCACAATAGGCAATAGAATACCGTCCTAACGCTCTCCAGTCGGTCGGGCGTATAACACCTAGCGATGTATCATCCCACAGAGGACGTTCGCAGGCGCAGGGAAGACAATCTCGGAGTGGAGAGAGGCGTGGCCGTGGCCGATTGGTTTCTTTCCCTGTCTTCCGACAGCTGCCTCGCTCTTCCGCGGATTACCGTAACGGACTCGTCGCTCTGTGCGGACGCCAGACACTTATCATGCGACGAGTCGTTTGTGATGTCTCTGCCAAACGCGGCGGGGAAAAAGAAGAGCGACGCGCGAATTCCGAGACCTCGAATGCTGATCCCGTCGCTATCCGCGGCGGCCGCCATAACCGACAACATCGCCAAGATACAGATTGCGGCCTTTAAGATACTCGCCAGGGCGGGTTTGCAGGATGCCGTACTGGTGAGCGGTCCGGAAAATAGCAGGGCGAGTCGTAGAAAATGCATAAGGAAGATCCTGAAGAATCAGAGTTCCTTCGATGCTGCCGTGCGCGATCTGTACAGGCTTCGCGATCAGGCCTTGGGCGGTAGCCTCGAGGGTGCCAGGAACGCCTCTCCCGTTTCGATAGCGATAGGCTCGTGGGCGGTGGGACTGCTCGACAACATCGTGTTCCTTCTGAGAGAGATCGCAAAGAAATCGTCGAAGCA